GCAATTAGACATCAACCAATCAGACAATGGTTAGAACCCACAGATTCCCTCCCCTCTGCTTGGGAGATAATTGAGTTTCTTACTGTATCTACTCAATTATCTTCAAGCTAAAACTTAGACTTTTTTATGCATTTTTATAACTTTATGATTTTTCATCCTACATGAATAAAACTTATATTTTTATGAACAACACAACTTGGGGACAAACATATTCAAAATTCGTACAAATCCGTTCAGTGGTTCCAGAGATATTGAAAAGTCTCTTTGGACCGACCGCACACCTGTTTGCATGCCCAAAACAGTTCCACAGATTCAGGCTGTGCGGTCGGTCTATTTCTGCCTTGAAAAATAACAAAGTCCCATCCGAAGGCGGCGTTCGAAGTCAAACGCACTTCGACTTCTGTTTAAGTGTCGAAGTATAACGGGGATAAATTTCCGCGGTGGTCGTTAGTTGAGTGGCAGTCTATTTTACACGAAAAAAATGGCAAAGTCCCATTCGAACGTGTGTTCGAATCTTCGAATGGGACTTAGTCTCCAGCCGAAGTGTCGAAGGGTAGGGGAAAGTATGGGTCAGCGGTGTTCGTTCAAATGTGTGGCTGATTTCCGTTCCATGGATTCGACGGCACACACCGCTGACCGCGTTTGACTGCATTAAAATGGCCACTGCCACGTGTTCGATTGTCTAATGGCGGCCACTTCGACTACTACGGCACTTCGGCTGTATCCGAAGTGCCGTATCAAACGTACCCATTCTTTGCACAACATAGTTAAAGGGCCAGAAAGAGTTTAAGTCCATAAGCCCCAACTCAGTTCTTTAAAGGGCAATACATCCTGTATTGCACAGCCTAAATTTGTGGAACTATTTTGGGCAGGAAAGCCATGCCATGCCGTAGTAGTCTAAGTGGCCGCCATTAGACAATCAAACACGTGGCGGTGGCCATTTTAATGCAGTCGAACGCGGTCAGCGGTGTGTGCCGTCGAAACCCTGGAACGGAAATCAGCCACACATTTGAATGAACACCGCTGACCCGTACTTTCCCCTACCCTTCGACACTTCGGCTGGAGACTAAGTCCCATTCGAAGATTCGAACACACGCTCGAATGGGACTTTGTCATCTTTTTCGTGTAAAATATTTATTTTATACAATATTTTCCACAAGGTTACCACCCATGTGGTCTTGTGGAACAGCCAAACACATTACAATACAGTCAGACACTCCCAGCCAAGGCACACAAACCCTCCCCTCTGCCTGTGATATAATTACTAAACACAATGGGCTAACTTAATTATCACACGCAGAGAAATATACAGATTTACACAATATTCATAGCTCCCAAACCATACATGCAATTGACATAAAGCAGTATACAAACATATGTCAAAATCATACAAATTGGTCCAGTGGTTCAAAAGTTAGGTGGAAGTCCTATTTGACTGACTGCAAGCATGGCTTTCCTGCCCAAAACAGTTCCACAAATTTAGGCTGTGCAGCCAGTCTATCTTATCCTCTATCCTGGAGATAATTGGCTTAATAACTTAATTATCTCCAGGTACAGGGAATATCTCCATTTACAACAAAAGTAAATATACATAAAAATACATAATTCCTATTAAACTAAACAGAACTCCCGAACAGAATCCCAAGATAGCTTGGATCTGAGCGCTCAATATATCCGAACAGCGCTCACATGCCACGAACAGAATAAAATTGCCATGGGGTTAAGGTTTAGCAAGGGCTAATGAGAGATTGAGGAGGGACAAAGCAGCCAGTTTAAACTGGTTTGGCAGTGTCCCTGGGACAATCCCCTGCTGGAGAAACAATAGACAGGAAAACGGGGGAGGGGGAAAAGGCACATTTTCTCATGGTATTAAAGGGGCAGAAAAAGTGTGTTACAATCCAATATGCCCAAATAATGTTTTTAAAGGGCCATAGTCATATGGCAGGAGGCTTGCAATCAGGCTCCTCCAAAAGCCTGGGGCAAAAGGCAGTTTGTCACAGTGACCCTCAGGGTTCTGTTTTGGGACCGCTTCTATTTAACATACTTATAAATAATCTTGAAATAGGCATTGAAAGTCAAGTTTTATTGTTTGCAGATGACAAAAAATCTTTGTAAAGTAATAAAATATGAGCAGGATATTTGCTTTGCTACAGAGGGATTTTGATAGATTGGGGGACTGAGCACTAAAATGGCAGATGGAAGTGAATGTAGAGAAATGCAAAGTTATGCACTTCGGGGTCTAGAATGAACAAGCAACTAACATCCTAAATGGTAGTGAATTGTGGGCACCTCTTCTAAAGAAAGACATCATGGCACTAGAAAAAGTGCAGAGACAAGCTACAAAATTTATAAAAGGAATGGAGCATTTTAGTTACGAAGAAAGGTTAAAAAATGTAAATCTCTAGTTTGGAAAAACGGCGCCTGAGAGGGGATATGATAACATTATACAAATATTTTCCAGGACAGTACAAACCTCTATCTGGAAATCTATCATAAACATGGCTATACATAGGACACGGGGTCACACATAGGAGATTTCATTTAAGGCAAAGAAAATGTTTTTTTTACAGGAAGAGCAATAAGGATATGGAATTCTCTGCCTGAAGAGGTGGTTTTACCAGAGTCACACAGATGTTTAAACTGCAATTAGATAAATATTTGTGCGACAGACCCTCCGTCAATCGATGCTCCTAGTGCTTACCAAGGACCATCAGCACCGCACCAGACACCATAAGCACTGCAGATCCCACGAACCGCCGCAGCTTGGCTGGGAACTCGCCGTCCTCTACCCACCCTGGACCTACGACAAGGCTCCAGGTTCCAGTGGGTGAACCTCTCCTCCAAGAGAGAGTAGCAGGTACAAGCTCTTAAAAGAGCTTCGTGATTATAGCAGTGTAGATGCAGCCTTTTCCCCCACACATGAGACGAGGTTCTATGTTGAGGGTAAAACAGGAACTAAACAGATCTGGGGGTTTATTGAACAGCTTGGTCTTTTATACAGTTTTCCCCACAAGGTTACTGTAACTGATCGCCTGGCACCCGACTGGGTATCTCCATTTGACGGGTGCTCCTAGTGCTTCCCAAGGGCTCCAGGCACTCCACTAGACACCATAAC